CGGAGGCGTCACCCGGGGACAGAGGATCCTCCGGGGGGGGGTCACCGGGGGGGACCCGGGGGTGGGGGACCCTCCGCGGGAGGTGACCCCAGCCCGGGGCTGTCACTGTCCCCGGGGGGGTCTGGCCCCCGTCTGAGGGGGTGTCACTGCTCCCGGCGGTTGTGACCCCTCGGTGGCGGCACCCTGACCTCCGTACCGGGGGTGCCCTCCCGGGGTCACGGTGCCACCCCCGTGGCCCTGCGGGGTGTCGGCGGTGGGGTCGCGGCCGTGTCTCCCCCCCCGGTGTGGCGGGGCCGGGGTGACGCGCGCGCCCGGGGCCCGGCGCCGCTTCCTTCCCCTTTCCCGCTGCCCCCATTCTCCGCTCCGCGCCTGCCGGGACTCCCCGCGGGCAAGCCGGGGGTGCCGCGGGCACGGGAGGGGGGCTGGCCACACTGGGGGGGCTCCGCGGACGGGGGGATATTGGGGACGGGGCGTGCTGCTGGGGTCCGGCGGTGCTGGGGACAGGAAGGGAGCGGGTCCCCAAAGCGGGGGTGCCGCAGGGTGGGGGTCGTTCCTCCGGGCACTGCCGAGGGGACCTGCCCGTGCTGGGGAGGGGCGGCTGGAAGGGTCGAGGGGGGGTCCCCGTGTCCCGCGGCGTGACCGGAAACCTCCTCCCTTCCCGTGCGCTGGGGGAGCGGCGCGGCGCGGGTGGTGGCATGGCCCGTGTCCCCGCAGATGCTGTGACAGCCATGTCGGACGAGAAGCCCCCGCAGCTCGTGGATTATTTCGTGGTGGCCGGGCTGGCGGAGGGGTCGCGGGCGCTGGAGGAGGAGCAGCAGCCGCGGCCGGCGCGGCCCGGGGAGCCCATCACGGACGTGGCCGTGATCATCCGCTCGCAGGGCGAGGAGGTGCCCCAGGGCTTCACCTGCATCGAGACCAGCACGTCGGGCCACCCCGTGGACCTCAACGCGGGGCTGCTCAACAACCCCCAGATGTTCCTGTGCTACAAACGCGGGCGGGACAAACCCCCCCTGATCGAGCTGGGGTGAGTGGGGGGCACACCCGGGTCACGCCAGGCTGGGAGAAGAGTTTGGCAAGCTGGGAAAGAACCCGGGGGTTCCCCTCACTCCTGTCCCCTCTCAGGGTGCACTATGAGGGCAAGGACCGCCCCAAGCCGGGCTACCAGATCCTGGACACGACCCCCTACAGCCGCTCGGCCAACCTGGCCTCGGGGTCGCCGGGCCACCAGCGCACGTTCCTGACGTTCCGGCGCGCGGCCGAGCCCCCCGGCCACCACACGCTGGGCGTCACCGACATCTGCCTGGTGATGCCCAGCAAGGGCGAGAGCACCCCCCACACCTTCTGCCGCGTGGACAAGAACCTCAACACCAGCATGGTGGGTTTGGGGTTTGGGGGGGGGGGTCCCTCTCGCCCCCCCCCCGGTGCTGCCCAGCTGCTGCTGAGCCCCAAAATCCCGATCTCTGCTTGCAGTGGGGCCCAGCGTTGTTCCTGTGCTACAAGATCGCCGTGGCCAAGGACAACACGCTGGTCTACGAGGCAGGTGGGCACCTGGGGCTGGGGGTTTTGGGTCCTCCCAGGGGGAGCCAGAGTTGTTTATTGCCATTATTGCTTTTAAAAATATTTTCTGGGTTGATTCACCTTTTCCAGTCAGCACGGGGCTGATTTGGGGAGGTGCAGGAGCCCCTGGGTCCCCTCAGGGGGGTTTGGGGAGCAAAAGGTGGGGCCCTTTAGCTGCCCCAGGACCCCTGGGGTGGGGGACTTGCCAGGCTTTTGGGACTGGAGTCACTTACTGTGGATGGGGGGACAATGGGGTCTCTTACTGGGAAGTGTGGCATCCTTTACTGGGGTGACAATGGGGTCTCTTACTGGGGTGACAGTGGGGTCTCTTACTGGGGTGACGGTGGGGTCTGTTACTGGGGGTTAGGGGCAATTTGGTTTCCTGTTGAGGGGAAGTTTTGGGGATGGTTTTGTGGAGCTGTGGGCACTCACCTGGCTGCCCCCTCCTCGCTGGGGTGGGTGAGATGACCTGGGGGGCTGATCCTGGTGTCCATGTGTCCGTGTGTCCGTGTGTCCGTGCAGGGCTGCTGAGCCGCTACCCCGAGCAGGACAGTGAGTCCTTCCCGCTGCCCGAGTCGGTGCCCGTGTTCTGCCTGCCCATGGGGGCCACCATCGAGAGCTGGCCCGTGGGCACCAAGTACCCCCTGCCCGTCTTCTCCACCTTCGTCCTCACCGGCGCCTCGGGGGACAAGGCACGGCAGGACAGGGGGCTCGGGGGTGTGGGATGGGGGGCCCCAGTGCCGTGGGAGGGGTTGGTCTCAGCACCCACAGCTTTGTGGGACTGGGGTCCCTGTGCCAGGGGTTCCCAGCGCTGTGGGACCAAGATCCCCAGTGCCAAGGGGTTCCCAGCGCTGTGGGACTGGGATCCCAGTGCCAAGGGGTTCCCATCCCTCCTGGGACAGTGATCCTGGTGCCAAAGGGTTCCCAGCACTGCAGAACCAGGATCCCAGGTGCCAGGGGTTCCCAGCTCTGTGGGATGCAGTGCCCGGGGTTCCCATCCCTTGTAGGACTGGGATCCTGGGACCAGGGGTTCCCATCCCTCATGGGACAGGGATCCCAGTGCCAAAGGGTTCCCAGCACTGTGGAACCAGGATCCCAGTGCCAGGGGTTCCCATCCCTTGTGAGACAGGGATCCCAGTGCCAGGGGTTCCCATCCCTTGGAGCTGTGGGCACTCACCTGGCTGCCCCCTCCTCGCTGGGGTGGGTGAGATGACCTGGGGGGCTGATCCTGGTGTCTGGTGTCCATGTGTCCGTGTGTCCGTGTGTCCGTGCAGGGCTGCTGAGCCGCTACCCCGAGCAGGACAGTGAGTCCTTCCCGCTGCCCGAGTCGGTGCCCGTGTTCTGCCTGCCCATGGGGGCCACCATCGAGAGCTGGCCCGTGGGCACCAAGTACCCCCTGCCCGTCTTCTCCACCTTCGTCCTCACCGGCGCCTCGGGGGACAAGGCACGGCAGGACAGGGGGCTCGGGGGTGTGGGATGGGGGGCCCCAGTGCCGTGGGAGGGGTTGGTCTCAGCACCCACAGCTTTGTGGGACTGGGGTCCCTGTGCCAGGGGTTCCCAGCGCTGTGGGACCAAGATCCCCAGTGCCAAGGGGTTCCCAGTGCTGTGGGACTGGGATCCCAGTGCCAAGGGGTTCCCATCCCTCCTGGGACAATGATCCTGGTGCCAAAGGGTTCCCAGCACTGCAGAACCAGGATCCCAGGTGCCAGGGGTTCCCAGCTCTGTGGGAGGCAGTGCCCGGGGTTCCCATCCCTTGTAGGACTGGGATCCTGGGACCAGGGGTTCCCATCCCTCATGGGACAGGGATCCCAGTGCCAAAGGGTTCCCAGCACTGTGGAACCAGGATCCCAGTGCCAGGGGTTCCCATCCCTTGTGAGACAGGGATCCCAGTGCCAGGGGTTCCCATCTCTGACGAGACAGGGATCCCAGTGCCAGGGGTTCCCATCCCTTGTGAGACAGGGATCCCAGTGCCAGGGGTTCCCATCCCTCATGGGACTGGGATCCTGGTGCCAAAGGGTTCCCAGCACTGTGGAACCAGGATCCCAGTGCCAGGGGTTCCCATCCCTCATGAGACAGGGATCCCAGTGCCAGGGGATCCCATCCCTGGTGAGACAGGGATCCCAGTGCCAGGGGATCCCAGTGCCAGGGGTTCCCATCCCTCACGAGACAGGGATCCCAGTGCCTGGGGTTCCCATCCCTCGTGAGACAGGGATCCCAGTGCCAGGGGTTCCCATCCCTCGTGAGGCAGGGATCCCAGTGCCAGGGTCTCCCATCCCTCACGAGACAGGGATCTCTGTGCCAGGGGTTCCCATCCCTTGTGAGACAGGGATCCCAGTGCCAGGGTCTCCCATCCCTCACGAGACAGGGATCCCAGTGCCAGGGGTTCCCATCTCTTGTAGGACTGGGATCTCTGTGCCAGGGGTTCCCATCCCTCATGAGACAGGGATCCCAGTGCCAGGGGTTCCCATCCCTCACAAGACAGGGATCCCAGTGCCGGGGGATCCCAGTGCCAGCGTCTCCCATCCCTCACGAGAGCACCCTCCCCGTGCCCGGGCTGCCCTGACGGCCGTGCCCCGCAGGTGTACGGCGCCGCCATCCAGTTCCACGAGGCGTTCCCGCGGGAGCGGCTGTCGGAGGCGCAGGCGCTGCGCCTGGGGCTGCTCAGCGTGGTGGACCGGCGGCCGGTGCCCGGGCGCTCGCTGCACACCCGCAAGAGCATCTGCGTGCTGTCCCACTGGCCCTTCTTCGACGTCTTCCGCAAGTTCCTCATGTTCATCTACCGCTACTCCATCTCGGGCCCCCACGTGCTGCCCCTGGAGACGTGAGCGCGGAGAAGGGGGGGCTCCGGGGGGGGCGGGGGCCCGCGGTCACCCCCCCGCTGACGGGGCCGCTCCGCCCGCAGGCACATCTCCCACTTCATGCACAACGTGCCCTTCCCGTCCCCGCAGCGCCCGCGGATCCTGGTCCAGGTGAGTCACCTCGGGTGGGGGGGGCCTCACAGCGACCCCCCAGCCCAGCCCGGCGTGTCCCTGTGTCCCCCACCACGTCTCCGTGTCCCTGCAGATGTCCCCGTACGACAGCCTGCTGCTGTGCCGGCCCGTGTCCTCCCCGCTGCCCCTCAGGTAGGGCTGGGGGATGCTGGTGTGGGGAGGGGGACAGGTGGGGAGGGGGGCCCTGGGTGACCGGGTGATGTCCCCGCCCGCAGCGGGGCCAGTTTCCTGACGCTGCTGCAGAACCTGGGCCCCGACAACGCGGTGGCGCTGCTGGTGGCCGTCCTCACCGAGCAGAAGCTGCTCATCCACTCCCTGCGCCCCGATGTCCTGACCAGCGTGGGCGAAGCCCTGGTGGCGGTGAGTGACCGCAGGGGACACCGCAGGGACGCTGAGGGGACGTGCCACCGTGGGGCTGGGGGCCCGCCGCGCTGGGGATCCCGGTCCCACGCTGGGGACTGTCACCCCTCAGCACTGGGGATCCCTGTCCTGCGGTGCTGGGAGCGCTGATCCCGTAGTGCTGGGGACCTGCTGTGGGGATCTCCGTGCCACGGTGCTGGGGGTCCCTGTTCCGTGCTGCTGGGGATCCCGGTCCCGCAGCTCTGGAGACCCCACCCCGCGGCGCTGGGCCCCCCCATCCCGCCTGGCGGGGGCCCTGCGGCGCTGACCACCCTCGTCCTGTCCCCAGATGATCTTCCCCCTGCGCTGGCAGTGCCCCTACATCCCGCTGTGCCCGCTGGCGCTGGCTGACGTGCTGTGTGCCCCCGTGCCCTTCATTGTAGGCATCCACTCCAGCTACTTCGACCTCTACGAGCCCCCCCGCGACGTCATCTTCGTCGACCTGGACACCAACACCATTTTCCAGTGAGTGTCCCCAGGGCTGGGGGCGGGTGGGCTGTCCCGGGGGGTCCCAGGGGGTCCCGCCCTGCCCTGGTGCCTGTGCCCCCAGGAGCGAGGAGCGGAAGCTGCTGTCGCCCCGCGCGCTGCCCCGCCGGCCCTGCAAGGTGCTGCTGGCCTCGCTGCACAGCCTGTCCCAGCAGCTGGATGAGCGTGAGTGGGGGTCCTGGGGCTGGGCTGGGGGCTCCAGGGTGTCCTGGGGGGTCTGAGTGTCACCACATCCCCCACCTGTGCTGTTATCACAGAATAGCCCAAACTGGGAGTGACCCACTGGGGTCAAAGACCACCCTGAAATCCCCCCCGGCCTGGGGGCATTTTCCAAGCGGGATCAGAGGCTTCACTCCCTCATTCCCTGGGTGTCGCCTCCCAGCCAGCCCCACCCCCGGGGCTCTGCAGCCGCGGGACTCATCCGGCTGGGCATCCCCGGTGCCAACACTGTCCTGTCCGTGTCCCTGGTGCCAACACTGTCCCGGCTGGCTGGGCATCCCCGGTGCCAACACTGTCCTGTCCGTGTCCCTGGTGCCAACACTGTCCTGTCCGTGTCCCCGGTGCCGACACTGTCCCATCCATGTCCCCGGTGCCATGCTGTCCCGTCCGTGTCCCCGGTGCCGACACTGTCCTGTCTGTGTCCCCGGTGCTGATGCTGTCCCGTCCCTGGTGCCGACACTGTCCCATCCATGTCCCCGGTGCCATGCTGTCCCATCCATGTCCCCGGTGCTGATGCTGTCCTGTCCCCGGTGCCATGCTGTCCCTGTCCGTGTCCCTGGTGCCAACACTGTCCTGTCCGTGTCCCTGGTGCCAACACTGTCCTGTCCGTGTCCCTGGTGCCAACACTGTCCTGTCCGTGTCCCTGGTGCCAACACTGTCCTGTCCGTGTCCCTGGTGCCAACACTGTCCTGTCCGTGTCCCTGGTGCCAACACTGTCCTGTCCGTGTCCCTGGTGCCAACACTGTCCTGTCCGTGTCCCCGGTGCCGACCCTGTCCCATCCATCCCCCCGGTGCCATGCTGTCCCATCCGTGTCCCCGGTGCTGATGCTGTCCCATCCCTGTGCCGACACTGTCCCATCTGTGTCCCTGGTGCTGACACTGTCCTGTCTGTGTCCCCGGTGCCGACGCTGTCCTGTCTGTGTCCCCGGTGCCGACGCTGTCCTGTCTGTGTCCCCGGTGCCGACGCTGTCCTGTCTGTGTCCCCGGTGCCGACGCTGTCCTGTCTGTGTCCCCGGTGCCGACGCTGTCCCGTCCGTGTCCCCGGTGCTGACACTGTCCCAGCCAGCGGGGTGTCCCCGGTGCTGTGCTGTCCCATCCGTGTCCCCGGTGCTGATGCTGTCCTGTCCCCTGTGCCGACACTCTCCCATCCGTGTCCCCGGTGCTGACACTGTCCCGTCCGTGTCCCCGGTACCGACACTGTCCTGTCCCTGTGCCGACGCTGTCCCATCCGTGTCCCCGGTGCTGTGCTGTCCCGCAGTGCTGAGCGCGCCGGGCGAGGAGGAGCCTCCGGAGCTGGTGCTGAGCGACGCGGAGGCCGCGGGTGCGCGGCGGGCGCAGCTGGAGCTGGAGGCGCGGGCGGCCTTCCTGCGCTTCATGGCGTGCGCCCTGCGCGGGTACCGCTCCTTCCTGCGCCCCATCGCGCCCGCGCCCGCCCCGGCCGGCCGCGACGCCGGCAGCCTCTTCGCGCTGCAGGGTGAGGGGGGAACGGGGGGTGGCGCTGTGGGTTCCGTGCCGTCCTGTCTGTCTGGTTCTGTCTCGCCTTCATCCCATCCCATCCTGTGCATGCCATGCCATGCCATGCCATGCCATCCCATCCCATCCCATCCCATCCCATCCCATCCTGTGCATCCCACCCTGTGCTTCCCATCCTGTGCATCCCATCTTGTGCATGCCATGCCATGCCATCCCATCCTGTGCATCCCATCCCATCCTGTGCATCCCATCCCATCCCATCCCATCCTGTGCATCCCACCCTGTGCTTCCCATCCTGTGCATCCCACCCTGTGCATGCCATGCCATGCCATCCCATCCTGTGCACCCCATCCCATCCCATCCCATCCTGTGCATCCCATTTTGTGCATGCCATGCCATGCCATGCCATCCCATTCTGTGCACCCCATCCCATCCCATCCCATCCCGTGCATCCCATCTTGTGCATGCCATCCTGTCCTGTGCATCCCATCCTATGCTTCACCCCACCCCACCCCAACGACCCCATCCCCTTGTCCCCGTGTCCCCAGGGTTCCTGCGCTCCCGGGAGCGGGCGTACCAGCGCTTCTACGGGCAGCTGCTGCGCACGCAGCTCTTCACGCAGTTCATTGAGGACTGCTCCTTCGCCAGCGACCGCGAGCCCTGCCTCGAGTTCTTCGACACCTGCGTCGACAAGGTGTGTCCCCATGTCCCCTGCGTGTGTCCCTCGTGTGTCCCTCGCTCCCTGCCTCGAGTTCCTCACCCCTGTGCCCACAAAGTGTGTCCCTGTGTCCCCTGCGTGTGTCCCTCGTGTGTCCCTCGCTCCCTGCCTCAAGTTCCTCACCCTGTGTCCACCAGGTGTGTCCCCGTGTCCCCTGCGTGTGTCCCTCGTGTGTCCCTCGCTCCCTGCCTCGAGTTCCTCACCCTGTGCCCACAAAGTGTGTCCCTGTGTCCCCTCCCTGGCCCTGCTGACCCCGCTGCCCCTCCCCAGGTGCAGGTGGACCTGGAGAAGCCCGAGGACACGCCCCTGATGGAGCTGGACGACCCCCGGGGCGGGGAGCACACGGTGTTCATCACCCCCCCGGAGCAGCCGGCGGGGCCGGACGGGGCCGAGCCCCCCGCGCGCTACAGGTGAGAGCACGCTCCCTTTCACCACTTTCCTTTCACTGAGTATCTGGAGCATTTAATGGCATCTTTGCTCACTTCTGACCCAAACCCCCCTCACCTGTGCCCCCCTACAGGTATGACGGGTTCCCCACGCTGCGCCCGGAGCTGCTGGAGCCCCCCCGGGACCCTCTGGTGGCTCAGCTGTGCCAGGCCCGGAGCAGCGCCCCGAGCAGCCCCGCCCCGCGCCGCACCAAGCAGGTGAGGGGCAGCACCTGGGCACGCGTGCCTGTGCCACCTGGACGGGTGCCCAGGTGGGACAACACCTGGGCAGGTGCCCGGATGGCACAGGTGTCTGTGAGCTGTGACACTTGGGCACGGCGCCGAGGGGCTCAGCTCCCGTCCCCTGACTCTCCCTGCTCCCCGGTGTCCCCAGGAGATGAAGGTGGCCCAGCGGGTGGCCCAGAAGTCGTCGGCAGTGCCGGAGCTGTGGGCACGGTGCCTGCTGGGGCACTGCTACGGGCTCTGGTTCCTGTACCTGCCCACCCACGTGCGCGCCGCCCCCGCCAAGCTGCGCGCGCTGCAGCTCGCCTACGACGTCCTGCGCAAGATGGAGCAGCACAAGGTGGTGCTGCCCGACGAGGTGGGTCAGCTCCTGCTCCAGATCCTCCTGGGGAGGGGGATCTGCTGCTGGGGTGGGACTGCTGGAGTGGCCAGTGCTGTGGCCAGTGTCCCGTGCTGTGTCCATTTCTCAGGGCAGGAGGGCCATGACAGGGCTGGAGCACATCCAGAGAAAGGAAAGAGGCTGGAGCAGCAGGAGAATTCCTGAGGGAGCTGGGAAAGGGCTCAGCCTGGAGAAAAGGAGGCTCAGGGGGACTTTGAGGCTCTGCACAGCTCCCTGACAGGAGGGGACAGCCGGGGGGGTCGGGCTGTGCTCCCAGGAACAGGGACAGGACAAGGGGACATGGCCTCAGGCTGGGCCAGGGCAGGCTCAGGGTGGATATTTAGGAAAATTCCCCTTGGAAAAGGTGAGGTTTGGAGTGGCCACCCCTGGAGGTGTCCGAGGAAAGCCTGGACGTTGTTCTGGGTGACCAGGTGGGGATGGGGCACAGGTTGGCCTCTGTGACCCTGGAACTCTCTCCCACCTGGCTGACTGTGGGCCGCCGAGGCTGACGGGGGGGGTGTGTGCCCCCCAGGTGTGCTACCGCATCCTGATGCAGCTGTGCGGGCAGTACGGCGAGCCCGTGCTCTCCGTGCGCGTCCTGCTCGAGATGAAACGCGCCGGCATCGTCCCCAACACCGTCACCTACGGCTACTACAACAAGGTGACCCCCAGGGGCCGTCCCCTGGGTGGGCACTGTGGGGGTGGGGGTTCCCCTGACCACCCCTGACCCCTCCGTGTCCCCCTGGCAGGCGGTGCTGGAGAGCAAGTGGCCGGCGGGGACGCAGGGGGGGCGGCTGCGCTGGGCCAAGCTGCGCAACGTGGTGCTGGGGGCGGCGCAGTTCCGGCAGCCCCTGCGGCAGCGGCAGCGGCGCCGCGCCGCCGGAGACCCCCCGGGTGAGCAGGGGGGCAACGGGGGTGTTGGCACCCCGCTCGCACCCCCGGGTCCCCTTGCAGGTGATGGAGCCCCTCTGAGTGTCTCGGGGGTCTGGGGGGGACCCCAGCGATTCTCCCCCGTCCCCTCCTGCCACCCCCATGGGGTGTGGGGGGTTTATGGTGCCCCATTGACACCCCCTTGTGTCTGTGCCCCCCCAGGGGTGCCCACCCACTCACACCCCCTGATGGAGCCCCCCTGAGTATCTGAGCCTGGGGGGGACCCCAGCGATTCTCCCCTGTCCCCTCCTGCCTCCCCCATGGTGTGGGGGGGTTATGACACCCCCTTGTCCCCCTCAGGTGACTGAGCCCCCCCCAGGGGTGGCAGCGATGGGGGGGCTGCTGTCCCTGACCCCTCTGTCCCCCGCAGGTGAGCCCCCCGCCCCGCGCCCCCCCCTGCAGCGCCAGACCACCTGGGCGGGTCGGAGCCTGCGGGACCCGGCCCCGGCCCCGCGGCTGGTCAAGAGCGGCAGCCTCAGTTTCCCCGGCAGCGCCCGGGGCGAGGGGGCGGCCCGGGAGGGGCCGGGGGAGCCCCCCCTGCTCCCCGCGACCCCCAGGGCATAGCCCGGGTTTGGGGGGCACAGCCGGGTTCGGGGGCACAGCCGGGCTGGGGGCACAGCTGAGGTTTGAGGGGGGGCACAGCCCAGGTTGGGGGGCACAGCTGGGGTTTGGGGGGCACAGCTGAGATTTGGGGGGCATAGCCCGGGTTTGGGGGGCACAGCCGGGTTCGGGGGCACAGCCGGGCTGGGGGCACAGCTGAGGTTTGAGGGGGGGCACAGCCCAGGTTGGGGGGCACAGCTGGGGTTTGGGGGGCACAGCTGAGATTTGGGGGGCATAGCCCGGGTTTGGGGGGCACAGCCGGGTTCGGGGGCACAGCCGGGCTGGGGGCACAGCTGAGGTTTGAGGGGGGGCACAGCCCAGGTTGGGGGGCACAGCTGGGGTTTGGGGGGCACAGCTGAGATTTGGGGGGCATAGCCCGGGTTTGGGGGGCACAGCCGGGTTCGGGGGCACAGCCGGGCTGGGGGCACAGCTGAGGTTTGAGGGGGGGCACAGCCCAGGTTCGGGGGCACAGCCCAGGTTGGGGGGCACAGCCGGGCTGGGGGCAGCAGGGGCCGTGCCCCCCAGGTGCTGCTGTCCAGCTGCTCGCGCTGCCCGGGCTGTGCCGCGCTGGTGTTCGACGAGGAGCTCATGGCCGGCTGGACCTCGGACGACTCCAACCTCAACACCTCGTGCCCCTTCTGCTCCCGCTCCTTCGTGCCCTTCCTGAGCATCGAGATCCGCGACTTCCGCCGGGCACCCAGGTGCCAGCACCCCGGGGCACCCCGGGGCACCCCCAGGGACCCCCATCCTCCGCGGGGACACCCCAGTGTCACACTGCCCTCCCCGGGTCCCCAGGTGCCAGCACCCCGGGACACCCCTGTCCTCTATGGGGACACCCTGGTGTCACACTGCCCTCCCCATGTCCCCAGGTGCCACCCTGGGACACCCCTGTCCTCTATGGGGACACCCCGGTGTCACACTGCCCTCCCCATGTCCCCAGGTGCCAGCACCCCGGGGCACCCCGGGACACCCCTGTCCTCTGCGGGGACACCCCGGTGTCACTCACACTGCCCTCCCCGTGTCCCCAGGTGCCACCCCTGGGACACCCTGGGTCACCCCCAGACACCCCCAGGGATCCCCATCCTCAGTGGGGACACCCCGGTGTCACACTGCCCTCCCCGTGTCCCCGGGTGCCACCCCTGGGACACCCTGGGGCACCCCCAGACACCCCCAGGGATCCCCATCCTCAGTGGGGACACCCCGGTGTCACACTGCCTTCCCCGGGTCCCCAAGTTGTCCCCAAGGTGTCCCCATGTGCCGCCTCTGGGGACCCCCCAGGACACTCTCAGACACCCTCAGGGACCCCTGTCCTCTGTGGGGATGTGTCCCACTGCCCTCCCCATGTCCCCAAGGTGTCCCCAAGTGCCACCTCTAGGACCCCCTGGGACACCCCCAGACGCCCCCATCCTCTGTGGGGACACCCCAGTGTCACGCCACCCTCCCCATGTCCCCAAGGTGTCCCCACACCCCTCTTTGCCCCCCTCCGTTCCAACCCCCATCCATCCATCCATGCTTTGGGGGCTCCCCGGTGCCCCCCATCCCCGTGACCCCCCCCTTGTGCCCCGCAGCCCCCCCGGGGCCGGCCCGGTGCCCCCCTCCCCGCGGGGGCCGGTGCTCAGCGACCGCCGGCGCTGCCTGGAGCTGGACGAGACCCCCGAGCTGTGCAACGGCTGCAGTGAGACCCCGGTACCGGGGGGGGCCCGGGCTGGGGGTCCCGGGGATGGGGGGGGGTCCCTCGTCCCTGAAATGTGGGGTTGGGAGGGGATTTGGGGTCACCGGGGGTCCCTGGTGGTGGTTCTGGGCTGGGCAGGGGGTCCCGAGTGTGTCCCCCCCCATTCCCATATCCCAGACCATTCCAGGGCCGGGCAGGGGGTCCCTCATCCCCACAGTTTGGGGTCTCCCCCAATTCCCAGCTCCCAGTCCGTTCCAGGGCCGTGCAGGGGGGGGTCCTTGGGGGGTCCCTCCCCCCTGATTTGGGGGTGCCCCCCCATTCCCAGATCCCAGGGCTGTGCAGGGGGGTCCCTGGGGGGGTCCCTCCCCTCTGATTTGGGGGTCCTCCCCAATTCCCAGCTCCCAGTCCGTTCCAGGGCCAGGCAACGGCGGTCCCTGGGGGGTCCCTCCCCCCTGATTTGGGGGTGCCCCTCCATTCCCAGCTCTCAGTCCATTCCAGGGCTGGGCAGGGGGTCCCTCATCCCCACAATTTGGGTTCCCCCCATTCCCAGCTCCCAGTCCGTTCCAGGGCCAGGCGGGGGGGTCCTTGGGCGGGGTGACTCCCCTCTGATTTGGGGATGCCCCCCCATTCCCAGCTCCCAGTCCATTCCAGGGCTGGGCAGGGGGTCCCTCATCCCCACAATTTGGGTTCCCCCCATTCCCAGCTCCCAGTCCGTTCCAGGGCCGTGCAGGGGGGGTCCCTGGGGGGGTCCCTCCCCTCTGATTTGGGGGTCCTCCCCAATTCCCAGCTCCCAGTCCGTTCCAGGGCCGGGCAGGGGGTCCCTCATCCCCACAATTTGGGTTCCCCCCATTCCCAGCTCCCAGTGCCTTCCAGGGCCAGGCGGGGGGGTCCCTGGGGGGGTCAGGCAGGGGGGCTCCCTGGGGGGGTCCCTCCCCTCTGATTTGGGGGTGTCCCTCCATTCCCAGCTCCCAGTCCATTCCAGGGCCAGGCAGGGGCTGTCCCTCCCCTCTGATTTGGGGATCCCAAGTGTGTCCCCCCAATTCCCAGCTCCCAATCCGTTCCAGGGCCGTGCAGGGGGGGTCCCTGGGGGGTCCCTCCCCCCTGATTTGGGGGTGTCCCTCCATTCCCAGCTCCCAGTCCATTCCAGGGCCGTGCAGCGGGGGTCCTTGGGGGGGGTGACTCCCCTCTGATTTGGGGATGCCCCCCCATTCCCAGCTCCCAGTCCATTCCAGGGCCGTGCAGGGGGGGTCCCTGGGGGGTCCCTCCCCCCTGATTTGGGGATGCCTCCCCCATTCCCAGATCCCAGGGCCGTGCAGGGGGGTCCCTGGGGGGTCCCTCCCCTCTGATTTGGGGGTGCCCCCCCCATTCCCAGCTCCCAGAGCCGTGCAGGGGGGGTCCCTGGGGGGTCCCTCCCCCCTGACTTGGGGGTGTCCCCCCATTCCCAGGCAGCCCCCGGGGCGCTGCGAGCGCGTGGCCTTCGCGTACCTGAGCCCGCTGGTGCTGCGCAAGGAGCTCGAGAGCCTGGTGGAGAACGAGGGCGCCGAGCTGCTGGCCCGGCCCGAGCTCGTGGACAGCCACCCCATCATCTACTGGAACCTGGTCTGGTACTTCCAGCGCCTCGGGCTGCCCAGCAACCTGCCCCTGCTGCTGCTGGGCTCCCAGCACGCCCCCCGAGACCCCCAGGTGGGTTTGGGGGGCTGGGAGGGGATCTGGGAG